TCGTTCAATCCAATTGTATTGATAAACAAACTCACAAAAGATACACACATTTTTTTGTCGGGAATTGCGAAACTCACTAGTCTAAGCTTAAGATTCTGTACAACATTTCAGATTCCCATTTCTTATAAACTTTTGGAGACCCCCAGAAAAGAATCTCTCTATGTGAATTTGGAATGGAACTGACCATCTGGGGCGGGCGGGGGGGAGGGCTGATGTCTCTCCTCAGAACTCTGCTCTGGCTTGGCTGGGGCTTCCCACACCTCCCAGGGACCTCTCCAGGTTTTCCTGGGTCTGGGGTTGGCATAGAGTGGAGCCTAGTGGGGTCTCAGATCCTGAATCTTTGTTGAAACTGTGCTTCCCGAGGCCCTCCCCTCGACCCCACCCCCTCAATCGCTGTGATTTAGGGCCGCTCAGAAACCAGCCCCCTCCCTTCACATTCTCTGTGCCACAGGTCTCCAACCAGGGCCAGTCCCTCAACACCCTTGGCTCTGCCTTCCTCAACATCATGTGGCCCCACGAGATTGCCAACGGGAAGTGGCTGCTGTACCCCATGCGGGTGGAGCTGGAGGGCGGGCAGGGCCCTGGGCAGAAGGGACTCTGTTCCCCCAGGCCCAACATCCTCCACCTGGTGAGGCAGGGTGGGCGGGGCTGTGAGGCAGGGTCAGGGGGGTCAGACTTCGGGAAGTGTGTCATGGGGGTGGGCATGTGTGTGTGTGTGTGGGGGGGGGGGGACCAGGAGGAAGGCAGTGGGGAGGAGATGCCATCTCAGGATTGCCGTATTTGGAGGGACACTCACTGGGCCCCTTTCCCCACATCCAGGATGTGGACAGCAGGGACAGGAGGCGACGAGAGCTGGAGCAGCCGGAGCAGCCGGAGCAGCAGGTGCCTCCTGAGCAGCAGGAGCCTAGCACATCCTGGTGGCCAGTGTCCTCTGCTGAGAAGAAGAAAAACATCACCCTGGTGAGGGCAGAATGGGGGTGTGGGGGTGTGACAGAGGATGCTGGGGGCATGGCGCTTCATTCAGTGAGGTGGGTGTCCAGGGAGGCTGGCCTGCTGAGGGCTGATGGACAGTCCCGACACCTGCCAAGTGCTTACTCAAGATCAGGGCAGTTGGCTGTGCATTCGGTCTCCTCACATTTATACCAAAGATAACACTTTAGTTTTTAAAAAATATTTTTATTGATTTCAGAGAAGAAGGGAGAGGGAGAGATAGATACATCAATGATGAGAGAGAATCATTGATTGGCTGCCTCCTGCACGCCCCCATTGGGGATCGAACCCCCCAACCCTGGCATGTGCCCTGACTGGAATCAAACAGTAACCTCCAGGTTCACAGGTCGATGCTCAACCACTGAGCCACGCCAGCTGGGCCCAAAGATAGCATTTCATAGGGATGGGATGGTTTTAGCTACCTTTGAAATTTGTTTGTTGTTCTTTTGAATTTTTTTAGGACAAAAAAGTCAATTTGTGTAAGAAAACCTGTTTGACTTTTACAATGTCCAAAGCATTTTAAGTTTTAAGAGGTTCTAATAATTAAAACGATAGTGTATTATGTGTGGTTCATTAAGTCTATCCCCTTTGAGCAGTTTTGCCCCCCTTTTCCTGCTTGCTTTACAAAGTTTTGTCCTTTAAGTGGATTTATGGAGCAAATTGGCATATTCTCTATGCTCACCCCTTGAGAATGGTGCTGCAGTGAGAGTGTGGGGGGAGCACGATTAAGGGGGTATTTGGCCAGTTGTCAGGAGGTGACGCTAGGCGTGGAGGCAAGGAGTGGAAGACTGTTCGCAGGGGAATGTGAGCAGTTGGGCCAGCTCTGGCTTCATCGGTCTGGGAGGGAGCTCCACTGACACCCGGTGCCTCCTGCCCTCCGCTCCCCCGCTCCCCTGAGAGCAGGCCTGAGGCGAAGGAAGGTGCCTGGGGATAAGGCGACTGCTGTTTCCCTGGTGTATGGGTGGTCTGACCTTCTCCATGAGGCTAATTTCCTCTGAAAGAACTCCTTTTTTATTCAGAACTTTGAAATTAATTCTTTAACTTAAAATTAAGGCCGTGTTTTTAGACACATTGACCGAGGGTTCTTGATTTACTCAAAAGTAGCCAAATAAAAGACGATTGACAGAATTCAAACACCCTCAAGCCATTCTTCTGTCTCTGAAGTGTGTTGAATATGTTTTTAGGCAAGTAGACCATTAGGTGAAGTTAGGCCAAATGGATATGGGTCAGGCCTGGAAGGAGCAGGGCCTGAGTCCCCCCAGCCTCCTCTCCTGTCAGCAGTTGGGCTTAGTGTAGGAGTGTGGTTTTGCCCAATATGGACCTGGGTTCAAATATGAGCTTCACCACTTATCAGTTTTGCTAGTTCTGGGACCTAAGGTAGGTCACCTGGATGCTTTGAGCCTCAATTTTCTAATTTGAAAAATGGGGATGATGATAATATGCATCTTGCAGGATAGTTGTAAAGCTTAAATGAGATAAGTACCTGGCAGGTAGTAGGTGCTCAATTAATGGGACCAACATTAGGTCACATCCACATCAATTGGGGAAGCTAATCTGCCTGCTGCTGTCAAGGAAGAGCCCTCCGCCCTGCTCCCCATGCATTTCAAAGCCAAATAGCCCAGATTTGGTTAGGGTTAGTCTGGAAGACTTCCTGGAGGAGGGAAGTTTGAGCCCTGGTCATGAAATAGATATGGTGAGGAGCATGAGAAGGGTCCAGATGTGATGCTCATGAGGGATGATGAGCTCCGGCAGACTCTGTCTGTGTGACTGCATTTG